ATATATTATAAAAAATATATATATTTATAGAAATTGTACGTATGTTATTGAGGCCAAATAAATAGTTTTTAGCATTTTGTCGATTTGTCTGTGCGTTTGTGAACGCATAACCGATGTAAATGCGGTTTTCATAGCTGACTGATGTAATGTGGCATTCTCTAAGTTAGTGTTAAATTCCAATCGGTTCACAAATATAAAAATTAATTGAAATAATATGCATTATCTCAGAGATATTTTACAATTTTTAAATAATTACACCCTTATCGAACGTCCACGCAGACGGAGTCGCCGGGCAGAGCTAGAGTATATATAGCTAGAGTGTATAAATTTAATAAAGAAGATAAGCCTCTCCCGTCACTGCTATTAGGAACGATCTTGACCCACCCTCATTCACTGAGTGCTTGCAACACATTTGAGGTCGCGGTGTGATGTCTTAAAACCGTTTACCCGTACGAGTTTAAGAACCTTCCTTCTCTAAAGTTATTCATTATTTCAAGTTACGAGGTGAAACTGTATTTATTTATATTATTTATAGAAATATCAACAGCGCATTAGTATATATTCGTTGTATGGTACCAGCATGGAATGGGCACCTTCTATTCCTGTGGGTACTGTAAGAGGCAACTGAGGTAATTTAATAATCAAAGTTTGCCTCATACCTTTTAAAACATCATCAAAGCCTAAGTTTGGTTGCCAACCCGCCTCCTAAGCATAGCAACTATTGGTAACCCTCCCCCCTTTCGGGGGAGGTTTATATTTCAGTAGTGGACAGTTAAGGGCTGATATGATGATGAGAGGTGAAAGGAATTGTTATTAATGCGGACTATCAGCCCCATTGTTAGCAATATACTCTATCAGGTTGACCTCCACGTGGTCCCCCCTGGAAACCATTGTGCTGAATTCCAAATGTATTCATCACGTTGGGCTAACTGATCTGCCGTTTCATCCTCACCTATCATCTCTCACTGGTACCCCGCTAGTGTATACCGATAGCGCAATCGGGGTTACCATTCCATTATCATCCATAAAAAAAGATATAATGATGTTGATAACGTCATGACGATGACGTGAAACTTTACTATCACTTCAGTTTGTAGATCTTGTGAATTATATCGGTCACTTTTATTATCGGTCTTTATTTATATTCAGTAGAGAACTGTCACTAAAATACTAGTGGTGATGTTGATCTAATGCGTCCTCATCATGTCTTCACACATATTGAAAATTAAATACCTACAAATATTGTAGAATTACAGATTAAATTGGATTTTTTTTTAATGGATGATAATGGAATGGTAATCCCACCCGCGCTACTGATATACACCGGCGGGGCACCAGTGAAGGATGATAGATGAGTATAAAGCAGGTCAGTTAGCCCATCGTGACGAATTCAACAAGAATTGTTCACGATGGTTTCCAGGGGGAACCACGTGGAGGTCGACCTAATAAGGCATATTGCTAGCAATGGGGCTGTCAAACTCCATCGCTTACAATCCCTTTCCCCCCGATTAAATTGAATTACCATGGTATTAATTCACAACTCTCGTATGACAATGACCTCATTATTACTAGTGCAATCGGATCGCAGAAAAAATTGTTCAATAGTTCATTTAAAAAAGTGTCCATTCTCAAGGACACGGTTAAGTAGTAAGTTTACCGATAGAAAAATCTCTTTCACAATTATAATTATGTGTGGTGTGTTGAAGTATGTTGACATAAAAAAATAAATACAAAATTGTTATAGATACTTAAATAACATACGAGTACATAGAGACATGCAATACATATTACGTAGAAAATAATGTAAATAGGTGTACAATTTTATTGTCATTGCAATATGTATAACACATAATTCTATTATAGGTACGTACATTACGTGTTCTTACGTGTCTTCGTGATGGTAAATAGAATTTAATAAAACTGTATAGCAATAAAAAAAAATAACAAGATAATAATGACAAAAATTGCACACTATCAAATTTTCTGTATAATTAAAATTCTACTGTTTTGCCCTTGTATAGAATAACTACCTCTTCTTTTCCCGTGGGTATCGTTAGAGGTGACTAAGAAAATTTAATGTTCGAGGAATGGACAGCAACGTCCAATTATCAAAGCCTAACTGCGGTTGCCGGGGGGAAAAGGATTGTTAGTAATTGAGACTAAAAATTCCATTGCTAGCAATATACCCAACCAGGTCGACCTCCTCGTGGTTCCCCCTGGAAACTATCATGGTTAATTCCTGATGAATTCATCATGATGGGCTAACTGGCCTGTTTTCATTCTCATCGATCACCCTTCACTTCGCCAGCGTATCCCGTTAGCGCAGGCAGGGTTACCATTCCATTTTCACCCCTCAAAAAAAAAACTGCGGTTGCCAGGTGGAGGGGTATGGATTGTCAGAATTGGTTCTAGTAGTCACATTGTCACATTACTAGCAATATACCCCATCAGATCGACCTACACGCGGTTCCCCCTGGAAACCATTGTGGTTAATTATTATGGAATTCTTCACGATAGGCCAACTGACCTGCCTTCATCCTTACCTATCATTCTATCACTGGTGTCCCACTAGCATATACCGATAGCGCAGGCGGGGTTACCATTCTGTTTTCACCTATTTAAAAAAACTGCGGTTGCCAACCTGCCTGCTAAGCATGGTAACTACTGGCAAAACCCTCCAATAAGGGAATGCCTATGTTCAACAGTGGATAGTTAAAAATATTTTAATATTAATTATTACTATTACTAAAAATAATATAATACTTGATTACACTAATTGTTAATGTTACGTACGAGAGTGTTATAATATATATTTTAATACTATGACGCCATTTAATTCAGACCAAACTTCCATTCAAGTTTTTTTTTATGCAACTTATAATTGCAAACAAGCACACCTGAAGGAAAGTGGTAACCGTTGCCGATAAACATGAACTAATACCATGAAAAGAGGGTATACTGTGTCACACATAATACCTTTCATGCATTACCATTTCTGAGGCCTAAGGTGTTATGCTTCTGTACGCTGCAATCTCATTGCTATATTCTACACTTCAAATTAAAACACAGTCATGTAAACACAACTGTGTTTTCGGCAAAAAACAGGAATGGGACAGAAGTACCCAAGCAGATGACTTTTATACAAAAGCCCCCTCTAGCAAATACGTTATATATAGTTTAAGTATTGTACTAAATATAAATATATTGTCAGTTTTGATATGTCAGATTTATATTGTTGATGTTTTGGCATCACATATATTACACAGTCAAATTCTTTTAATTTATAATATACTAATATTATAAGTAATTATTCTTAGGACTATCTGAAAAATTAAATTTATTTCTTTCTACAGCTATGTTTCATTAAAATAATTTGGTTTTATTTTAATAATAAATATTTCTAGTAAAACGATTAGAGAGTTATTTTATTATCTTTATTATCTCAACAATTTTGCTTAAAGAGCATAACTGTTATCAAATAGATGATTTCATAACAATAATTATGATGAATTGATAAAACTTGTCATTTGATGATAATAATCAAGATTTCATATTTGAGTTTGTCAGTTTAACATTGATCTTAGTCATTTGGGTTGCTAAATATACTCATGTATATAGGCATAGGTGTTAAAATTATTACAGCAGTTTTGTTGAGATGTTTCAGAAAATAAATATGCCATAGCGAACTCCATAATTATAATAGCAGTGTTTGATACCTATATTTATTTTTTGTCATTCGAGGAGCCGAGAGAATTAATTACCAAACTCTTACGCTTATTCTCTTTCAGTCGATATTAATGAAAAGTTAATCGAGTTTTAATTAAATTATGAACTAAACTCTCGAAATTAGTAATAAATCGAAATATTCAGACAATCAATCGATTTTCAAATTGTTTCATTACTATTAAACATAAGCAGCAGTATCATGGGCGAAACAGTATACTCTGTTATGTCCATGGTACTGCTCATGTCTATAGGCGACGGTTACCACTTTCCATCAGGTGGGCCGTCAGCTAGTTTGCCATTTTAAGTTGTATAAAAAAAAAGACTACTCGTATTTTATGGCTTCGTTAATTATGCCTTTGTTTACATTTTTATTCAGTTCTGTTCAAACAGGCTATACGTCCTTTACTTCTCCCCCTTTTGTAACTCATAATATTTGAAGCATTTGCTAGATTTGCTCTTTATTTTTATTTATTTAGTGATATGATTATATGTATTATATATATTATACATATATATATATTTTAATAAATATATATATATATATATATATATATATATATATATATATATATATATATATATATATATATATAATATATATTTATATATATATATATATATATTTATTAAAATCGATATCTACTTGTGATAATGCTTGTATATTTAGCTAATTCTTAGATATCTGTTATTTGGACAAAAATCTACTGTGCATTGTCTAAAACATTTTTTTCTAAGCCTTTTTCATCCCTTTGCACTGCTGCAGCTTACATGTTAAATTATTTTCTTTAACAAATTAAAAATACTTATTTGTTATCTATTTACTATATATAAATAGTTTATAGTCGATATATTAGAAGATTTCTAATAAACATTACCTTTACATTTTCTTTCTTTGTTACTTAAATATTTTTCTTTTATCAGGTCTACTAATTCATGTTATATGTAGTTGTGAAGAATAGTATTATGTTGTAAAATTCATATGTATATTTAACTGAGTAACTTCAATCGCCTCGGTCTATAACCGGTACTATTTCAAAATCATTGTAAAACGCTTATATTGGTATTTTACTTCTCCACATTGCAATCGATGTCGTAAAACATTTCAATGTTGTGTTTCACAAGCACAATATTTGTTATAATTCATAATTAAAAAATAAATTTCAACATTTGTATCAAAAACAAACATAAAATATTTATTCTTAAAATCACTCGATATTTTTCACTTTAAAAAGGAACGGAAATAATAAAATTCGAAATTGTAACATAAAACTCACGTGCAATTTTAGCGCTGCAATCGCTGACGAAAGATGTCACTACCGCTAGTAGTACGACAACAAAAACATATCGCTCACACATATTGATATCGTACACACCGGCGATCTGTTGAAGTAACAAAACACAACCAACGGCGCCCGTATCGAAACCTACAGACACACTGACGAGTGACCCTCGAACCACGCGGGGCTACTTCTTATGTAAATTGAAACGAGTTCTTTCTCATTTTCGGTTGCATAAATTCGGCTAGCTCTTTGCCAATGTGAAGCCTGCTTTTCACGCAACGCTGAACGCTAATCCGTTCTATATAAAGGTCCGCATTGAAGTTTTATCGTATCGGCACATGCATTCCGCGTACTTATTCTGAAGATGTTTGTTTTAATTTTTTGGAAGGGATAAATATAAAATAGAATTTGACTATACAAACTGATGAGTTATCACTGAATGTTGATAGGTGAGAAATAATAAAATTAAATAAGTTAACCCATAGTGATGAATTCACCCGGAGTTAACCCTGACTTTCAGAGGAGAAAATCTAGAATTCGCTCTGGGAGTACTGCTAGCAGTAGAACTAAAATACTACATCACTAAGAATACTCTCCCCACTGTTTGGTTTGACTGGATAATGTACCTATAAAGCTTGCTATATATATTTCATTTATTATAAGCTGGCAATTGTAAATACACTGAAATCTAAAAAAACAAAATGAATATGTTTTTATTAAAATATTGCTATCGATGTCATAATAAAATCAATAAATATAGTTTTTAATAGCAGACTGATATAGAAACATTCACTAAATTACCAATTATAGTAAGCCTAATTGTTAAATATTTCTATAAAATTTTTATTTAAAGCAAACTTTGGTATATATTTTCAAAGCAAATGAAGAGATTTTATTGCTGAATTTGACGAGACGAATGGAGGACGACCGTAAATGTTATGTCTGAAGAATGCAATTAAGGAGAGGCTTTGACTTTGACAAACAACCTTGGCACAATTGGGATGCATATTCTAAAATGCAATGTCGATGACCACAAAAATATATAAATTAATAAAATATATGTACCATTTAATTACAAATGAGTAAACAATATAGATAAGGCGCTTAACACACAAAGCTTAAGCTCCGTGCTCTACGATCGTTTGCGGCGAACAACGGCACATCGTGAATACTTACTGGCGGTTAAGGTTAAGAAAGATACAAACATTTATATTATTTTCTCAGTTGACAAGAAATACTTAAATATAGACTCTAAATTGACATTTTACTGTTTTGTTTTAACAGGAATCGAGCCACAGGTCATCGCTTCTAACTAATAAGAATGTCGCAGATATAAAAAGAAAGGAATCGTTCTTTAATACGATAATAAAACGATATAATTACGACATTATAATTTGATTACAGAATAAGTCTGCGGATATTTAAATTGTCAGTGGTATTGAGAGTGGTATATGAGTAAGTAGCAATAAATTGCACTCATTGAAAATATTACAAGGTGATAGGTCTGGAAGAATCAACGGCACGATATCACGATTTCGTAAATGCATTTATTTCCTTTAATTTTCATGAATCATTTTATTGGACATATTGAATAAAATTTTGTGTTTGCATATATGTAGGTATCGATTAGTTTATATTAGAAATTATGTGTTTTTTAATCCACTATCGTATTTTATTCTGAACTTAGGTTATTTAGATACAGTACCTCCATACAAATACAGTTTAAATTTTTTATTCAATGTGTGCGTTAAACGGGTTACCAGTATGTACAGTTAATACTATTGAGAGAAATTTATATTATAAGATAAAATGAAAACGAAATAAAATGATATAAAATTCTTACAAAAAGAATAGGATAATGATTAGTAATGATACTTATCTTCACTGAATACTTTGAATTATATCTAACTACAGACATAAAAAATGTTTTCGTTTCTAAATCATTGAAAATGACTACCATTTTAATTTATACATGTATATTAATTTAAAAGCTTAGATTATATAGATAGAGCATCGAACTTCATAAACTGGGCAACTTTTTGTCAGCTAATTGTCAAATTAGACACTCTATTTATATAATCTAACTTTATAAGAAAAACGTACATATCTATATTTATATAATATTAAAAAAAATAGTTCCAAATTTCTAATTTTAAAATCGATCGATCTGGGAAATATAAAATCCAATTACTTGTAATACTGAAAAAAATATCATTGTTTTGTTCAAAAAAAAAAATTCCAGCCAATCCTCAAATTAGTCGACTAAATTTTGTCATGTTTTTTGATATTCAATGCTTTGTTTATATTATTTAAGTTAGAACATTCGATTATAAATTCTTTGAAGACTGATTTTCAAACTTAGAACATCTCCCTCTTTGTTGTACTAAATTATCCGCCTTTGTTTCCATTTCATAGAGAACAATGTACTACACCGGTAATATTATTGTCTCGTCTAAAATGGCTTCGCGTTTTAATTAACTTTTAATCCGTCCCTGTGAAAATATTTATTCTATTTTTGTCAAAGAATTTTTCTATATTTTATTTTCATTGTTGTCTTTGCCATAAAAAAGCTGATGTTCAATAGAAATACAAAAGTAATCCTTTATGTCATTTTGCAATGTAATAATTAAAAATACTTTTATTTAAAAGTTCTTTATTAAGAAATTTCTGTAATTATCAATATAATTGCATATCTATAGTGTTATTAAAATAATATTTCAATAACTATTTCGTGAATAAATATGGAATATAATTTTTTATATTTTAATAGTATTTCTAAATGAAATTTATATTCTGGGAAATTGTCATCAGTATCTACTGATTATAAAATTGATTCTAGTGATAAAATTTATACAATATTTTAACACACGACGCTTAAGTTGTTATAAGTTGGACGTGTCTGTATATTTTTATGTCTGTCTGTGGCATCGTAGCTTCCAAACGAATGAATCAATTATGATATTTTTTTTTTTGTATTTGGACGCTAGCGTGATCGAGATGGATCTTTGCTACAATTTATTGAAGATTTAGTCAAATGTTTAAGATCATCAACTCGAGGATTATAATTACAATTACAATTTTTAATTTTGTATTGTTAATCCCCGACTCAAAAGGAGAAGTGTTATAAGTTTGATGTATCTGTGTGTCTGTCTGTGGCATCGTAGCTCCTAAGCGAATGAGCCGCTTACGATTAAGCTTTTTTAAAGCTGACGTGATCGAGATAGTTCTTAGCTACAATTTATGATAATCTATTCAGGGGTTTCAGGAGTTACTTTAAATTTTTATTCAAAGAAGAAGATACGTTAGGCGCTCAGGAAAATAATGTAAAAAAATATTGCGTATGTAACTACTGCAAAATAAATAAATTAAATAAAAGGGATAGGTGTAATTATATAAAAGGAATGGCAAGTATTTGTCAATGCGCGAATTTTCAATGTTAAAATTAAACGCTATTATGTAAATTTTAACTACAGTAAGAAACTATAAATTGTAGTATTAATAATAACTATTAGATGTTTGTTTCGTATGAGAAATGCAATAACGGTCATTTTATTTCATATTTATATACGGAACACTCGGCGTGTGAGTTCAACTCGTAACTGATTGCTCTTAGATAGATATAAGATTAGAATCCCTACAAAAATTAGTCCAGTGTTACTGTACAGCTGTAACTTCCATGCATAAATATGATATAAAGACGTTGGCAATGTAGAAATGCGAAATCATAGAACATCATGTTTTCTTAGAAAATGACATATTTTCAAACGCAGAATCATTACTTGACATTTGTGTTTTGTCTGTGAAAATAACGCTTCGGAATAGTCTTATGCTAATTTTCTGAAGTAATATTGGTCTAAAAGTAATTTTAAACTTAGAATTGTTTTCAAACTTAAATATATTTGCACTAAAAAAATTTGTACATTTTAAAATTTATATTAAACTTTGTAACTACTGCAGTAAGTAAAACGTCACAACAATAACCATCAATAAACGTAACCCAAATATGCGTGAACCATGAAATCACGCATTTCTGATCACATTATACATATGGAATTAATATTCTTGTTTCGTTTAGTTTTAACTTGTTAACAAATTAAAAGTAAACAAAACAAGAATTTTGTTTTTTATTTGATAGTATTATTATATTATCAACACTGCGCCGATTTTTTTTTTGTAATCTATAGTTTATTATATTACCATATTACTCGTAGTTCCATATTTTTCTGTCCGAATAGGAGTAGTTTTTTTTTTTTTGTGAAACAAATTTTAAATTATAATGATGTCGATACAAAACTTCTGCAATAGTTGTAACTCGAAAGTACTAATGGTAGGGTTAATTTCATAAAGGTATTCGTTCATTATTTATAAGATTTAAAATTGTAAATAATTTTATCTTATAAATAAATTACAAAAGAATTATTATTATTGCATTTATTATTACCATTTTTTAAGCGACTTCATAAAATTAGGATATCTTCAATTTGGCTATATTTTTTTTTTATATTTCATCATATCACCCTTTAATTGTCTACTGCTGAACATAGCCTCCTTGAAGGGGTTTGCTAGTAGTTGCCACACTTGGCAGGTGTATTGGTAACCGCAGTTAGGCTATATAGATGTTTTAAGAGAAACGCTGCTGCTCATCTCTAGCCCTCTCTTAGCCTCCTCTTACGACACCCACGGGAACAGAGAAGATGCTCTATTCTATGCCGAGACTACACGGCCATCGGGACCACACGGCACCATTTTTTATATTTATTACCTTATGGCTCGTGATTTATAAGTCGATTTGGAAAATTATTTTTATTCGAAAGCATTTGCTTCCAGATAAGTTCCATAGAAATTTTATTAAAATTAATGCAGACTTCAGTTTGTAAATAAAAATAACTGGTTTCGCTATGATTGAATTTTTTTTTCTGAAACACAATCTTAAATGATCTCTTTGATCTGTTTTTATTTTTATATTTTCAAATTAAAATACAGAGAACAAAACAAAAATGAACTAATACTCGTATCTATTTGTCTAACATATTTTATTTCACCAATGTACGTTTTCAGCAAATTAATAATTATGTATACCAGTAAATCTATATTTAAAGACCAAATAGCTGAAGCTGTCTCTTTATTTGCTTTGTAATAATGAACTCAGTATTTTCTAACTAAAGTTAAATAACAAATTAAATTCTATGTCTACTGTAATGCGAGATATTTTAATTGGAATTTGTCCACAATATTCAAATTAATGTTTTCTGGA